TTATTTACTTTATATCCGTACCCTCTAATTTTCGCTTTTCTTCCTTCATTTTTTTCCTACTTTAGTTTCAGTTTGCTTTTTAAAGTATTCAATAAAATTTGAAATTCTAAAACCTTTGAAATTGGAATTAACTAATAACTGCAGCTTTTGCTTAAAGTCTTTTGTTGAATTACTTATATACATGTAAGAATTAAATAAATTAAGTCATCACTTAGATTAACAAACCGAGAAAAATGTTTTTTTTTTTTTTAAGCAAGAAAGGTGAGTAGTATGAAACTCAAAATTATGAATTTGTTTTTATGAAGAGAAACAGAGCTAATACTGCAATAATTGCCTTACTTTTTTTTAAGGGTAAAAATATATTGGCCTTCAAATATATGATCTAAAAGTGCAGTCTTCATTCTTCCCATCCCACATATATACCATTAATCTCATTCTGTTCTTCTGGAAATTGTTGCATTTTAACCTACAGTTAGAATAGTTTTCCTACACACTATAATAATGTAGTCTATGCCTTCGTTATAACGCATAACTTTCAGAAAATTTCTTGTTAATCATATAAATCCGTATGCTATATAAATGCTGTCTATTAAATAATTACCGAATACATGACACAGGAATTTTTTTGTTAAATAAGTATTGTTAGCTTTTGTACATTTAAAAAAAGAAACGGATCAAAGTAATTGTGTTGTAAAACTGATATGTCTAAAAAGAATTTTTACTTTGTTTATAATGTTAAAATTGTTTATGCCCTTAGCGCATTTTTTTTGGACCTGGAAAACAGGTTTCTTTGCATTCTAAAAGGTTATGCAGGGAAACAAACCATATGCGCTAGAAATCTAATTTTCCAAGAATTAAATACTTTTAGTTATTTCTTGATTTTTTTAAACTATTCTAATATATCGCACATACTATGTATCCTTTATTTCTGCAATCGAAACAAGTACAATAATGTTTCAATTATCCTGACAAAGGGATACCGCAGCGCGTCCTGAAATTCCAAACATTCGGAAATTGATCTAAGGTTTCTATAAATCAAATATTATGATAATACGAGTGACAATGAAAATATCGCACTCGATACTCAAGCGGAGATAATGTTTTAATTTCTCGAATATTTGTTTAAATTTCTCTCGATTTTTCTTCTTTCTTTTTGTCCTTAAGAATTTAAGAATAAAAATTCGGGCACAAAAACGACGTGACGTTGTCAATAACAAGCAGCTGACTAGTATTTTAACCTAAAAGTTTCTTATTTAACAGGAATAGATACAAAGTTACCACTTTTGCCTAGTTTATTTTTATGGTAGGAATATTTGTTATGGCTAAACAATGATTTAGAGTTGAACAAGATATAGCAAACTTGTATGAAATAGTGTTTATAATGTTTATTTATATAGGATACGTATTTGTTCAATATTTACAACCAGTCTGTATGTCGGTCTAATACGATTAAATTATTTTAATAGGTTCCTAAGAAAGCGTGTACCTTCCTTTATTATCTTTGTCTAGACATTAGGTATTTTGAAATCAATAATTATAAAAAATCAACTAAGCCTTCCCTGGAATTCCAATCATTCATCTTTCATTTGCCAGCTGGAAGTATTACTAGTACTTGCAGCTACAGGCGAAAATAACGTGGTAAAAATGCTGCAACAGAAAACATCGCAAATAAAACAACGTAAGGCGAAAACATCATTGCGCAAAACATCGTGAGAGACAAGAAAGCAAGAAAAACATCATAGTTCTAAAAAATCGTGGTGCAAAAGATCGTCAACGAAACTTAAAAGGTTAAAAAACATGTCAATTTTAAAACATCGTCGTAGGAAATATCATGGTAAAATATAAAGCACCACAAATCATCGCGTGACTACACCATCGCAGACGTACGTTTTCAGGTTTTAAAAGTTGTAAATGTACATTTACCAAATGATTTGTGAGCGCAGGAAAAAATGAGGAATATTTTTACCTCTGTATCTCATATTTTGTAATTAACTAACATATTTTGTTAAAAAAGCAATAGGGAAACTTAGGCATTAAAATATTAGAAAATACATAGAAGTTAACAGAAACGTTACACATAACAGTTAAATGAATTCTAAATATATGTAGTTAACTATTAAAGGTCATCATTTTGTAGTCTTCCTCGCCCTTTGTCTGTGATGAAACGTCGAGTAATCTAGTGAATTATGTACCCACTTATCGCTGAGTTCAAAACAACTCAGACGTAGACTCGAGAAGGGTTCACTCAAATAAAAATAACAAGTACAGGTGGCCATGAGCAAAAATGGTATTGCTCCGATGTACTTATTGAGAATCAAACAAAAGGTGACATGCAATCATACAGATGTTATACATTTGGATATACATAGATGCATATTCTCACATTAGGTTCATTGGTAGGTGAGATACAATAAAGTTCGTAATAATAAATAGATACAATATCATGGAATGGAGGTAAGGCACATATATGAATGAAGACTGAAGGCACGTTAGATATTTGTGTTTGGTGGAGATAACAATGGCACTCCGAAATTATTGCAGAATGAGAGGATTGAAGATTAAGGGTGGCATATATTGAGTCCTTGTCTGTGGATGTAGTCGATGATGTTCTTTATCTGACTAAATGTTTTTCTGTGCTTGATTAGAAATCGCCTGAATTCTAGACCTGGCTTGCCTGGGTGACGGATATGGTGAACAGAAGTCAATTGGACAGTTGAAGATGCAGTGCTCTGGTTCTCCGTTGCTTCCTCAAATACAACTGTCAAAACAACTGTCAAATAAAAATAACAGTTGTCCCTTAACTTAAACTATCCGGTGAATATCACTAGGCACGTATAATACGGCCAAGCGTAACAGCATCAAGAATGACTTAGCCAGAAGGGAAACACACGGCACTAAGGACTCCTAGTACTCTCTCTCGAAGTTAGCTGAACTTCTTTAAATACCTCTGCTAACTCATTTGCATTCAGGCGATTCTAAAAATTCATTCTTGTTGGGAATTGTAAGTGGAAACAAGAACTGAAAGGAAAGAGTTTCAAAATTAAAATAACTGTTATAAAATTAAAACATACCTTATAATTTAATTAATCTGTTTTCTAAAGTTATATTGTTAGTAGATTTTCATGAAAATATAGTTTAAAAAATAGATTAGGAAAAACGATGAGTTACTACATGAGGTTACTAATATTAAAATTGTTTAACTGTAAAACTATTTTCTTTCATATGTGTTAATCTGATATTCTTTTAGTTGATTAATTGAGAGGCGTTTTGTTTATGTTTACTCCTTTCTTTAAGGTGTAATTAGCATTGTGGGATGTAGTTGTTTTCGCTATCATGCAAGGTAACAATATTTATTTAACTGTAAATCTTGCGACTTCTGGCAAAGACCTGAAGATGAATACAAGCAGGTAAAGTACCTTTATATTGAACACAACAGTCTACAGACAGCACGGACCTAAGTGCTCACAATCCTTGACCACTTGCGGCGAGAACTTAAAAGACAATGTAACACTATATGTAAAGGTCAAGGAGTAGTGCTAGACTGCACACTTAAGTTTGATTTAACAGGTTAATCAGAACCTATACCGACAGGATAATAATTTGGAGGCAAGAATGCGAAGCCGATATTCAAAGTTAACTAAACTGACTAAATCTGACTAAACGTTATTACTACATCAGTATAAATACACTCGTTCACCTTAACTAATTTACATATTGGCTAGGAACCATGAGAAGAATAAGAGATGAGAGAAAATGGTAGCAAATTAAATTAATTATTAGTAAAAATAAATGCAACTGTACAGCATTTTCACGTACAGTGTGCAGGAAAGCGTTTGAATGTTGATGCGTTAATCATGATAAAACATGCCGGAGGGTAGCTAAATAATATATATGTAAGGCTGCTATCACACGCCGGTTTGTTTCGAAAGAACAACTGTTTGGAACTATTTTTCTACTTTGTCACAACAGCCAATCACCACAGCTCGCTTTGGGGTTAACACAGGGGAAACTGGTTCTCCATTACAAACAAGCTAACAGCATTCGGCGCTGATAGCTGATTGGTTGAAAACGAACAACTTGCAACTTTTTTCGAAAGGAAGGAAAAAGTTACACGTCTTTCTTTCAATAGTAAACCAGGCAGAAAAATTGTCCCAAACAGTTGTTCGTGTGAAACAAACGCCGCGTGATATGGGCCTAAGGGATTTGGGTTTACTGAATTAAGCTGAAACACACTAGGGCTACTTATCTATGGTAAAGGATGCCTTTGTGAAGGAATTTCTTAGAAACTGTCTCGTATCCATGTTTTGCATTAGGAAAACCACAAAAATATAACGCATTCAGGTATTTCTCCAGGTCGAACTACCAGTGTTCAGCGACGTTACGGCTCAGCCACTGGTGGCTATTTTAACAGGGGAATATTAACCGAACTTAATTCGCTTTCACATCGATCATTGGAAAGGCTCAAATTTAAAATTATACCCAGGAAATTTAAACGCAAATTTTTTGTTAAATGTATAATTGTAGTGAACGTTATGACAACTATCTCCGTAAGGCGGCCAATATAATAAATACTTTGTAACGAGATTAATTATTACTTAGGCACCTATACAATTAAAAACTACCTCTACAACTTTATAAAAGAACTTAATTTAATAATGACGTTTAATTGTTAAGTACATAAGCTTAAAATTCTATTATCTGCTATATGTAGCATTAATTGTCTACTCATTTTCAACTTCTAAATACTAAAATGTCCTTCTTTCTTTTTGGCAGAAATTTATTAGTTAATCACAAGATATGAAATATGCAGATAAAAATATTTTTCATACCTTCTTGCGCTCACAGGTCATTTGGTGAATATGGATTTACATCTCAGAAAGCTTGAAAACACATTTTTTAAAATCATTTCCCTTAAACATTTGTTGAATTTATCATAGTTAGAATTATAGTAATAGCTAGTTTTGAAAAAATTGACATTTTGTTTTCCCCCCATCTTTTAGCAAAGTAAAGGGAACGAGAAAACTTGTGGCGTCATCAATCTGGACTACTATGACTTGTGCGAGGAGAACAACGTCAAAGACAAAAAGAATCCTCATGTCTTCATCATAGGAACTTCAGTCAGGGGCTTCTTTGATGTGAGTATAAAAAATAAACATAATATTTAATGTTATTATAATATTAAAATGAAATCTACAGATATATTTTGTAAAATTCTAGTATACAATGCGGCCTTGGCGCGATTTTGAAAATTGTTGCCAATACCAAAATGATGCGAAATGACACAAATGACCCCAATCGCTAAATCAATCGCTAAAATCCTGCGTGTACCACATAATAGCATGAGACCCTGTATTCTGCTATAAACAGTTTAATATAGCTTCCTATTTAGTCTATACATCTGAATGCTGATCGATGGACATTTAACTCAGAATGCTATTTAAACAACGGTTTGGCGTTAGGAAAAAATAGACTGCAAATATCATTTTTACGCCGAAATAAGGAGCTGGCTAGAGAAATTCTTTTATGATTTTGTTCTCGTGTAATATAATTATGGATCAGTTTCCCAGTCCTCTCTTCATAAGCATGGACTAGTTCCTTTCTCGTAGGGGCAGAAAATTATTTTCCTGCGAAAGAAGATATTTCTTTTACAAGGAAGATAGTTCCTTTTCAAGGAGATAGCACTCAAATGCTTTCCAGAGTAAACTTGTTCTAAAACACTAAATCGTTTTCTGCAATTTTACAGATTTTTGGAAGAATATAAGGCACTTTCCAAAACTGTCTGTGATTGTCGCCATCTGCATCAAATAGTAATAAAGAACTACAACTAGCGTAACTGTTCCAGTAGCGTATTCCTGTTCCAGTAGAGACAACCATAGTTATTATGGAAACAATTTTTTTGTTACGGAACAATATATTTCTTATGTTTAATCTGGTTGGACCTGCTTACTTTAACAATCGAGGCCTCACGTATTTTCAAGCATTGGAATTTTAATTTTCAATTGGTTTCTTACAGAAGTGCATCATTGTTTCAGTACTTGTCAATGAATCATTTTCTGACGTGTAAAAGCACCGAAACTATCATTTATACCAACACCACCTGTAATAACTTACTCAATATTCCATACGCGGCATCGGTGGATTTTGATATGTTATGGTATCAAATAAAGACACTTTCCTTTAAAGCTATTTATGAATCAAAGACTATGTACAATTATTATATACAGATTACAAGATATCTTGTTTATACCTCTCTCAACCACACTCATCAACCTCTCAATTCTCTCTGGTGAAAACTCTTAATTAGCTAAACGTATGGGCGGCGCAGCGCCCTCCATCTCTTTTTTCTACATCACTCCCCACCTGTACTCTTTAATAAGAGTACACAAACGTACCTACATAACAATATTAACATTAATTAATAATGGATTAATACTAAATAGTACGAAATATATAAATGCATAATATAAAAGAATAATCTATACTAGTATATATCAAAGCCACAAATGAACATAATAATTAATAATATAATAAAAAATCAATAATACCAAAAGTTCTAAATTAAATCTTGAAAGGATATAACATCTGGATCGATCTTCTGAGTTATCCTTTTGGCGTGCGAACGAGGCACGCTCGAACCATGGACCTTATAAGAGATAGGACTAACCCAGTGGGCGGGACGCGCGTCACCGACATGTCGGCAAGAAAGAGTAGGGACGTTCTGGGTTACTTTAACACTGAAACCTATGGCGTTTGTATCACATAACTCTTTTTAATTATTAAATGAGATATGTTGTATAGTGATGAGATTATGAAAGCCACAGTTTGCTCAAAATAGCTTTTAATATATCTCATTAAAGCACTTTTTACTGCATTTCGCGCATTCTTTTCGCGCGTAATTCTTGTACAAACATCTTTACTTTGGTAAAATGGTAAAAACTCTAGGCACAAAATTTATGAACTTAAATTTGCGTACAAATAACGTAAAAGTAAATAAGATTGATAGTACGTGATGCTTTGAAATAAATAAGGTAAAATTAAACAAAATCTGATAACTACTTTTTTTTTTAAAATTTAATGACCATTTTCAGGCAGTGATTTTCAAAACTATAATAACAGTACAAAACAATCATTTATTTTATTTATATCATCATTTACTTATTAATACTAAAGTGGAATATTTATTTTAGTAATTTATAAAATTTGCAGCATAAAATTTTCTGAGTGTAATGAAGGGGGGAAAAAAGTAAAATAAAACCTAGAAGCATTAAGATATTATATTACGCCCAAAAGGAACCTTTTCTTAACGTTTTGTGTGTTACCTATATTTATTGAATATCATGTTCTTCGCCCGTAAACCACATACATTTGAAAACAGCATACCTTTAGAATTTCCGCACTGGAGATAAAACTGTTATTTTCCGTACAGTGCTCTCTCTGAACTCGTTGAGTTTGTTAATCAAAAATTCGTTAAAGGTATACAAAATATGAAATATATTAAAACAAATTCGAAATTCATCCGTTCAGATGCCCATGTTCGGGTGGAGAATTACATTATTCAAAATTTGATGGCTCTACATACTGTCGTTTTTGTCACAGTGCGAGAAACATACATGTGTTCATGCAGATTCTTCATTATTTAATTTCTTTAAATATAATACAAGGCGATAGTATTTGGTAACAACAATTTGCAAGGAGACACGGACATTGATAGTAAAATAGCGCAGTATGTCGCTTCGAAACTAACATCCTTTCTAGGCTATCGCCCCTTTGGGCTAATAAATTAAATTAACAGTAAATAAAAAAAAAATCTTATGCAGAACTAAAAATAAATTTAAAAAAATAACCAGTATAAAATACAAGCAAAATTAATTATTACGGTTAAATACAATTTTAATATTAGAATTAAATGTATAAAAATTTTTAAGGAGTCAAGAATGTTATCACTGTGACGTATTATAAAATATAATTGAAATAAAAATCCTTTACAGAAATTGTGCTATAATACTCAGCTATAATTTTAAGAAAGCAGCACAATTTAGAATTTTAAACAAAACTTTTAAATATTTTAGTATTTTTTACTTATTTACACAATAAAAAAGCATAAAAATTGCAAGAGAATATTGCTTGTTTGAAATTTTCTATTAGTTTCAGATTTAAAAATATATTCTCTAAAAGAAGTAGTTACAAATTTTCTTACAGAATAGCAAAAGCTAAAAAAATATCCAGCCCTGAAAGCATGCAATAGCTTTATAATTATTTGGAACGTTAATTATGCTTGATAAATACGCTAAATTTTTAAAAATCAATCTCAATTTCAAAAATAAAAATATGGAGGAATTCTAATTTGTGAAATGAGGCGCTACAACCAGCTTTTTCTTGACAATTATACACATTGCAATAGCCAACCACTGTTAAATTTCTGCAAGTCGTCCCTACTCCTCCTGATGTGATCAAGGTGACAGCCGGGAACGCCTCAGACGAGGGAGAAAACCCATTTGGGTTAGTCTATTTCTTATAAGGTCCATGGCTCGAACATGTCCATCTCTTACTGAAATCACGTTTTCAATTACACCCATGTCGCAAAGTAGTTTGGATTGTTTTGGTCCTTCTACCAACACAACGTCTCCAGTCTTAAGGTTCCGCTCAGTTTTAGGATTAGCGAAGTTATGCACATTTCTAAGATGGAATAAATATTGCTCTTTCCACTTGATCCATGTTAATTTTAAGAGCCTAGATTGATAAAACTTCCTCCTAGTTAAAGTCTCTTTGTCTGACACCTTGTTAAAAATTTCCAAAAAATGCCCGGGGAAGTTAAATGTATCACGTCCTAGCAGTGAAAACTGTGAAGGTGTGAGCGGGCGAGGTTCACCCTCTCATAAGTTAAAGGTTTATTATTTAGCACACACTCGAGTTCAGGTAATATTGTAGAGAGCTCTTCGAAAGTCAGTAATGCTCTCCCTAAAATTTTCTTCAGAGGTTCCTTGATGCTTATTATCAAACGCTCCCAGAACCCTCCCCACCATGGGGAACGCTCAGGTATGAATTTCCATGTTATCTCTTTGAATGTCAAGAAATCTCTCACACTTGGCTCTGCTCTGATTCTTTTAAATCCCTTAATTATTTCGCATGTGCTGCGGAAATTCTTGGCATTATCTGAATAAATCACTTTGCAGCTCTCTCTTCTTACTAAAAAACGTAGTAATGAAAAAATGAAACTTTTTGCTGACATATCTGAAACCACTTCAATGTGTACAGCATGAGCGACGGCGCATGTAAATAAGGCTATGTACACCTTTTTGTGGATATCTGCTCTTTCTCTAATAATAACCACTCCCGTTAAGTCAATAACTGTGGAAGGATTACTTTGGACTACACGATCTCTTGGTAACTGACCCGTTAACTGTTTGGCGGGCTTCACTGCGAACGTTTTACACACAAGGCAAGCGTTAATAACTTTCTTTACTACTTGTCTTCCTTTAGGTATCCAAAATTTATTCCTGACTTTGGACAATGTTGCCATGACTCCTGAATGGAATACTTTTATGTGTTCACTAAATATCACTAGTTCGGTTAACTTCGTTTTCGGCAGAATAATGGGATGTTTTTTGTCATCTATTAATTCTGCTTGTTCCAAGCGACCTCTGACGCGCAAAATACCCTCTATTGTCCATATATGGTGCTAAACTGTAAAGCTTAGAATCTGGTGTTATTAGATTATTCCTCTCAACATACTGTATTGGAGATCCAAGAAGCTGAGGAGTACTGGATAAAACAAGTCCAGAGAGAGAATTATTTTTCGGATATTCAACAACTAGAGAGGAATAATCTAATAACACCAGATTCTAAGCTTTACAGTTTAGCACCATATATGGACAATAGAGGTATTTTGCGCGTCAGAGGTCGCTTGGAACAAGCAGAATTAATAGATGACAAAAAACATCCCCATTATTCTGCCGAAAACGAAGTTAACCGAACTAGTGATATTAGCTTGGTGACAAACCGCTTTACCCAAGCTGCAACTCTCAACAATGTTTCCAGACTGGTGAATTTGGTAATGTTTAACGCAGTTTCTCCTTCTGGACCAGTCACCTAAACATAAGTGCTTAAACGCTCTCAATTTTGAGTATCAGTTTCTACTTTAAACTTCTGCTCAGGTCATTGATCTTCAGAATTTTTCAACCATGATGGACCATGCCACCAGTTATTATCCTTCATCAATGCATTTGCTGTTTCACCACGAGTCAATTTATCTGCTGGGTTTTCCGACCCTGGACAACATTTCCACTTATCAGGCGAGGTACAGTCTTGTATTTCTTCAACTCTATTCGACACGAACTGCTTCCACTCACGCGCTGACCCCTTTATCCACCACAAGCAAATTTCTGAGTCCGTCCACAGCACTAACCTACCTACCAAATCCTGAAACATTTTCAATAAATATTTCCCTAACCTAGCTGCAACTACAGCCCTCATCAGTTCCAACCTAGGGTGGGACAACATTTTTAACGGAGCTATCCTACTCTTCGACATTGTAAACGCACCGTTCCATATGCCACTACTGACGCATCACTGAAAATATGAATTTCAACCGAATGACCTTTACTTAGAACTTCGGAAAAGTAGTACTTATCTATTTTCAACGCGTTTAATTCCTCAGTTTCAGCGCATCACTTTATCCATTTGGCACCGTTAACTCCTTTGGCAACTCTGAAATTCCCACTCCAAACCTCTCTCCCATATTTCCTGCATCAAGTCTCTTAACTTCGCACCACAAATGGAGAAATAAATCCCACTGGGTCAAATACCTTAACTGCTGTGCTTAACATCCAATATTTTACTATTTCTCAACGATTCTAAACTACTCAAAAAATGATGTAACGTCTACTCTCAAACCATCCTCTTCTAAGTTCCCCACCAGGCCTAACACTTTCAACTTACTATCTCTCTCAAACGTACTTTCTTCAGATAACCCTTTCTGAAGCCACAAGTCATCATACAGCTCTTTAGAATGAGTGTTTAGCTTTCTCAAATATAAATTTGCATCTCTCAAAAAATAGATACCTCCTCTGATGAAAGAGTGAAAGCTAACTCTACACTTCCCCCTCCATAACAGATATCGTCTGCATAAAATGAGCTATTTAACATCTCGACACAGTTTTTGGTTGTTTTCCGGGTATTTCTTTAAATGATGTTTGATCGTTGCACTCAATAAAAACGGTGAACAATTACATTCAAATAATGTTCTTGTTCAATTCTCTGTTCATTTGCATAATTTTAAAGTCCTCACTGTCATTATCAGGATACCACAGAAATTTTAAATATGGCCTATCTTCCCTTGCTATCCCAATCATCAAAAACGCGTTTTCTATGTTACCGCAGAATCCAATTTTAAATTTTCGAAAAACAAGAATGATATCCAAAATATTCGAATTTAGGTTTGGACCCTTTTCTAAGCAATCGTTTAACGATAGCTTTCCTCCTTCGCAACTGATTCAATTAAATACCATTCGAACTTGAGTGCTTTTTTATCTTTACGAACCACTGCTCGGAATGGCCTAAAGTATCCCTCTCTCGTATCCTCACACTCTTGAATAATGTTGTTTTGTGTCTGAAATTTAATTATTTCCATAAACTGTTCCCTCACAAAGCTGTTACTTTTTAACTCTCGCCGCACCCTTTCGAACTGCCTTTTCGCTAACCCAAAATTATTTTCCAAATGCTCTGGACCCCTATTCTACAACAAGCTAGCTTCACATCTCCCGTCTACATATTTCAAATACTCTTCAAATTGTTTAATTATTCGCTTATCGGCAGCGCTCCTTTCCGCCGCGCACTCAGAAATTCCTAGACTTTCAATTTCCCAAAGCTGACGAATCTGTTCCGATATTTTTAGTTACGTTTCCGAATCTATGTGTATAAACAAACCGGTGAAGTCTGACCCTGAACTTAGCTTCTTAATCTCTCCCCCTACTCTCCCACTCAACGTCCAACCGAATATGCTTTCGTGCAATACTAAATAGTCTGTTAACCGATGTGTTTTCTCCGTTAGAATGCAGTTGAAATAATCATTCCCAATTAAAATCTGTACCTCTGCCACTTCACTATCGCAGCTGTTAGATAAGTGAAATCCTTCTTGGCAAAACTTGTTTATAATTTCTGCAGATGGCCTGGGTGCATTGGAATATATGGTTTTTACTTCGATTGCTTCGATGCATAGAGTGAAACCGGCCTTATTTTTTAAAGAAAGTCTTTTCCTTTTAAACTCTCGTACTGGCGGATTCGAAGATGCAAATGTATGAATTTTTAATCTTTCTCTACCAATAGTTGGTAAATATGCTTTCCTAGAAATAGACTGACAAATATAAGATCTTTCGGACGCTGAATCGCATAAAATGCCTCGTATAGCGTTACGTTTTAAAACAGTATTGGGGCGATTATTAAGGAAGGTATTAATGGGCATATTGTTTGCTCAATATTAGTTTTTTTTTTTTTTTTTAACATTCGTTTTCCGATTTTTTCCCGGGGGCGGGGCATTATGTAGAGTTTTATTTGCTATAACAGATTTTACGTATTGTGTTTTCACGTTTGATAGTATTTTTTCGTAATCTAGCCTCTGTTCATAATTTTCTTTAAAAATTTACCGAGCTAGACGAAGGAAAGCAATCAACAAGCATCAAATTTTCCTCATATCAAGTATTGCTTAATCAGAGATTGTTTATACTTGTATCCAAATATGAAATTTATGAGTTGGCAAGAGTAGGTGTTATTATTTCAACGGAAAAGCGAACTTATTTTTATAATTTTCGGATGCTTTGTATTCACCATAGTTAAGTTCAGTTCGAATTGTTGCGAGCTACTGGATCCTTGATATTTCTTTAAATAATGAGTCTAGATAAGCAGGAAGAAATTAAGAATTTATTAAGAAAATAAGCACAATAAGTTGCACACCAATCCCTATAATAGCTGAAAATACCAGAACGTAGATATTTAGTAATTTCTCCTTAGCAGACGAAATATATTGTTATATTTCTCAAACCACTGTCGGAATAGACCCTAACTTGTAATTCAGCTAACAGCTAAATCTCATAACTGATTGGCAATTGAACTCTCTAGTTCATCTACCGATCTCTGAGGTGTGGACCTCTGGAAACTTCTAGGAGTATCAGCCGTAAGGCTTCGAAAATGTGTTTTCGCCAAGTGTCCAGAAAATCGCCAAGTTAGCCAGAAATCACCAAATTTCGACAACTTCGTGATAAAACCTGTTGCCAAGGCATCTTTCAAGAACGAAATTGTCTATTTCGCGCTTTCTAATTAAGCTATTTTTACAGTTCCAAACCAACTGCACTCAGAAATTAAAGATCTATAATTCTATGCAACGAATAAATACTTAAGTACAAGATATGTACACACAAATTTAGATTAAACTCAAAATAAACCATAAAATTACCTTCTAAACACAATAAATAAAACGATACAAAATACTACAATACAGAAAATCAAAAATTACTATCAACAAGGGTTAAAATATTTACAACAATAATTTTAATTCCTGTTTAGTTTAAATATCATACGCAGTTAAATAATGCCATTATGTTTTTGCTAGTATTTCAGTAAAACTAATGGGTCAAGTTTACTCGGAAAAGTCATTTATCATCTGAACAATGGAATAATTGATAATATCAAGAATAATTTAGAAAATTTGAAGTCCTGTTTTGCATCATTCAGTTAGAAATCATACTACCAAAGGCGTTTTACTGTAGAACCTCGTTCAGCAATCTTTGGCTATAAAGCAAACATGTGTATTCAAATGATCTCCATCTTTCTCCCGATATATACTTTTCTCTTTCCAAAAATAAATTTCCTCTCATTTTTTTCCTGATCTCAGAGAAGTTTTTTCCTGATATTGAGGAGATCCAAAAACCTATGACCTCGCTTTTCGAGCTATTACTTGCATAAACTCAGGATAACTGAATTACCGTTAACACACATCAATTTCAAGTAATACACACACACAATTCTGCTACTTTTTTTAAAGAATACTCTCGTATGATGCAATTCCCCCAGCGTGTAAGCGTATATAAGGAAATTTGTAACTATGCAAAATTTATTTTATTTTTGTTTGTTTTACATTTAGTACATATTTACGAAATATTTTTCATTGTTTAAAATAATCGAATAAAATTTTCAATTGACTTGCAAGTTTCACTGTCCCAAAATACAAATTTCAGTCGTAGTTCTTATTTATTTGTTTATTTCACTTATTAAATAAACATAACAACAAAAACTCCAAAAATACTCTTTTTATAACATTTTCCCGGAAGACTCGAATTTAGCACCATAAACTGTGATATTTAAAAATTCTGAGCATGTATGATATTCATTATCAACGCCAGAACAGGTTATATTCTTGTTCTACATCTCAGACTTTTGTTTGCCTAACCACTAAATCCGTCTACCATTATTATTTTATAAACTCTTAAACTCTACGCAGCAAGTGGTAGCAAATTTCATACTTGAGTGACTGCCGCAAGATAGCATGCGAATTGATTGAAAAGGTGTGGTTCGTCTAACCGTGACCGTAATACCCATTTGCTTGGTCTTTTCTTTTCAACGTTTTTCTCTCCAAACCACATTCATTATCTTCCATTTCAGAACCGACACCAGTTCTCGGCTGGATCTGCGGACGAGATGCAGTCTTGGATTCGATCCATCCAAGCTGCCATAACGGAAGCTAGGCAGAGCCGCAGGAAGGCCGGAAGGAAGCAGCAGCGACACCTAGAGGGGAAGTCGCCCGACCTCAGCAGTTCGTCACAGGTGAGTAAGATTGTTTATTAAATGAAAAATTCTACTTCATAGGTTAAAATACATCGGGCTTGGCTGAAAGCACTGGCGCGTTTTTAATCTTCTTTAAAATTACAGAATTGTCCACGAATCCGCTTAAAATCGCAGTATGCAGAACCTGGAATTATTTCAAATTTAAATCTCTTTCGGTTTTGAAATTTACTATTTAATTAAAGTAATTACTAGCTAAATAGCTTATCTATCCGTGAACTAATGGGACTACACTGCATCCTAACGTTCACTCATGATACTGGCCAGTTTATATTGACATAGAATTTAAAAATATTAGAATAAAAACTAGAACACTATTTGTCCACAACTAAGCATCCATGAATGCTATCAAATTACTGAACTTATCACAGATTTTAAAAAAATCTTATTCAGAATTAATATTTCATATAAAGCATTATTTATCATCAAGACAATTATAAACTTCACCTGTGTAATTTTCTTCGAAAGTCAAAATTTAAAGCTGTAAAAATCATGAGGCTTTTTTTCCTTTCTCTTCTTTTAGCTGAGAAGGGCTATTAGTCTCGAAACGACATTTTACGTTGAATTACTAAAAGCACTGTATCGCTTTTCAAATTGTTGCCAATAAATATTATTGCCCTGTGTTACATTGAAAGAAATTAAGTAATGAAGAGTTTGTATGATTGTATGTGTGTTTCTCGCATTAGGAGAAAACAATGGGTGTTGTATTCCTATCATTCGTAAATTAGAGTCGTCAAATTCTAAATAACATAGTCCTCCACCCGAATATGAACACGTGGAAGCCCGAATTTGGAATTTGTTTTATTGTCTATTTCATATTTTGCAAACTTTTAAAGAATTTTTAATTAATAAACTCTTCTGTTTCAAAGAACTCAGTGGCAACACACTGTACGGAATAAAACATTTTTATCTCCACCTCGCGAGACTGTCTATCGAAAATTCTGAAGATAATGCTGTTTTCAAACATTTTTAGTCCAAAGAGACATTAGCCCAAGTGTTCTCCAAACGTGTATTTGTGTAAATCAAAAAAATTCCCCTTTAGGCGTAATATAAAATCTGAAAAACGTTCGTTTTTAGCCCATAGGGCGTTAGCTCAGAAGAGCTATTACTCTCGATACGGTAGTTTGCGTCGAATCACTATAAACGGCTGTATTACTTTTCAAATTGTTGTCACTAAATATTATCGCCCTGTATTATATTTAAAGGAATTAAATAATGAAGAATCTACATGACTGTATGTATGTTTCTCGCACTGTGAAAAATCAACCATACCTAGAGCTATCAAATTTTCAATAGCGTAGTCCTCCACCCGACCATGGGCACCTGGAAGCCCGAATCTTGAATTTCGAATTTGATTTATTATCTATTTTTTTTAACGTATTTCTGATTAAGAAACTGAACGCTTTCAAAGCGAGCAGTGGCAGCACACTGTGCGGAATAAATAATTTATCTCCAGCGTGCAAGACTGTCTGCCGGAAATTCTAAACATATACTGTTTTTAAATATTTTTTGCCCAAATGATCTCGAAACGTGTATGTATGTGCAAATGAACGCCTCTTTGAAAACGCCCCTTTGTGCGTAATATAAAATCTGAAAGTTTTCAGAATTTTTTAAGCAGGAAAACGTGAGAAATGAGCTGCTCCCTCGCCGAGGCTGGAACCATGGATCTCATAGTTGCTTGTTGTATATACCAAACTCTTACACAACTTGTATCACGAGAGAGCACACAGAGGAAAATAATAATACTTTCCAAACGTGAATTTCTTTAGATTATGTGCAGTACAGAAATTAAAACAAAGAAGCTTTACTAAAAGGTTATAAGACTGTATTATGTTGACTTCAAAATTAATTAGCTTTTAATAATTTCGAAATAGTTTAAACATAGTGAAATTTCATATTCCGATCCTAATCTTGAATTATCAGTTATTTCCTCCCTCTAGCTGCCTAAAAACGGGAAACTTACAGTTAGAAAATACGAGACAAGGATGAAATGTTTTGTACCATGCAGTGAAGAGGTGTTTGAGCTGCAGTTTCTGATTATGATTTTTTTGCATAATGAAAATCAGTGCACTTGTGCATTCTGTGCTGCCATTTGTTTACGATCATCGTACAGAAGGATTTGTCCCGACTCTCAGACTACTAAACAACTACCTCATTGACGTCATGGATCATGCTAAAGTGACGTCCTCGAAGTTTATTTTTCTTATCAAAGAACAGGTCAAAATCTGATGGGGAGGAATATCGAAAATTGAGGAATAAGATGCATGGGAAAGCAAGGTGAAGCCACAATCAACCAAAGCAGCTTGTGCAATTGCGGTACGGTTGAGAAGGTGTATTGTTTTGATGCAGCATGACTTCTTTTTCAGTTTTCCTCAGCTGCTTCTCCTGTATGTATATACTCTCTGAGTTTGTGCATGAATATTAGGTTAGCATGATATTCCCCGTGGACAATGGAGTCTTTTATCACAAAATCAGGCAATTTGAACTAATCTTTTCTTCTTTCGTTTCTGTTTGGGGTAAAGCCTTTTTGGACCAGTCACTTTGTTAATTTGTTCATGGGATTATTCTATGAACAAATGAAGAATGAAAGAATGAACTGATGGATGATGTGTTACACACATTTGATAGAGATCTTTCAACATAGCGATGCTATTTTTGTGGTCATTCAGTGATCGTTGATGTTTTCTTGTGTTGTGGCCTCAATTGATGTTCCTTTCGTAGTCAGTTCAGAACTCTGTTGCAGTCCATATTTAAAATCCGCGGCACACCATTTAATAGTTGTAAATGGTGCAACTTTATTTCCTAGCTTCTGCTGTGTGTTCTATTGTATTTTTGTAACAGCAAGACACTTCAGACAGATGTACCGAATCACGGTCCTGTTAGCCATTCTCTTTTCTTGCACTTTATGCATTTTATACTGGAAAGAACGGCGAAGAAAACGTGTCAGTTTCATTAAATTTTGCAGGTCTCATAAAGCTCTGACCTAATATCCTACAAAAATACTACTTTCTCACTTTGCTTTTATGTGGGGCTCAAAACCTTTCATCCTTCTGCATACATAACTGTACTCCGTTCGGAAAAAAACAGATTTCAGATTTTTTTTTTCTTCCGCTTAATTTTACGACGAAAGTGTATATGAACCGTTTTCCTGCCGTCCTCTCTGTCAAAAGCTGCAAGTAGAATAAATTACCTCCTTGCTTACCCAGGACAGTGAAAAGGATTTACATTTTCGACATTTGTCGTGAAGAATAACGGTGATGTTTATCTAAGGAAAGACCATTAGCACGAAACTTAAGAGAAACTGCGTCATGAAAGGTATTCATCATCATCATCGACATTGCCGGCATATTGCTGTTTTTACGCAATGTTTCCGGCTCATGACACTTAGGCCCATAGGGCGCATGACGGTAGAAAGCAATGACGATTGAAAGGAGGCGTCAGTAGTGCGAAGAGGGGGTGACAGCATGACATCACAAGTCCATTTAAACACACAGACGAAGCTCAGAACCAGGAGAGGCAAAGACAGGGTGAAAATCAGACTTGTTCTGTTGTTCATGATAGGTACATGTCATAATAAAGTTATACAAATAAGCTGAAACAAATACAATTTATTAGAATAATAAAATACATACAAATAAAAAGAAAAGAGTATAAAATAAAATACGGCAAAAAGTCTATATACATATATACAGCGACGTTGCACTCGTGATAAAGTTATGTAGGGAAGTTCGAATCTCGAGCGGTGAAGGCCGCAAGCGGTCGAATACGTGCGTCTTCTGCAAAAATCTGGTAATCAAATACTTTGAAGTGTTTCATATGAGGACAATTTTTTGCTTTTTCAAAGAATTTTCTATTAGTTTTATGAAGGAACTCTTCAACTCTGTCTATACGTAGGTCTCTATGTAAGGTCTCATTCGAAACATAAAAGTGCGCATTAGTAATTATTCTGAGAAGTTTGTTTTGCGTAATTTGGAGTTTTTTCATGTCACTTTGAGTGTAGGTCGCCCAGGCAGGTGATGCGTAACAGAAAATTGGTCTGATAATTGCAGTATAGATGTGTCGTTTCCTTTTGAGATCAAGTCTAGAGTTTTTACCTATTAGAGGGAGGAGATTTTTGATAGTATAGGAGGTCTTCCATTTAATACTGTGAATATGGTCTTTCCAGGTAATCAGGTAAATCTGTGATTCAAAACTACTACCAAGATAAGTAGCCTTTTTAACAAGTGGCACTTCTTCATTAAAGATATTAATTTTTCTGTCCAAAGGGATTCTGGAATGTTTTTTACCGATGATTATCAGTTGGGATTTTTGTCCGTTAATCGCAATTCTCCATTTAGCGCACCATTCTTCTATGGCTGGAATTTTTTCTTGAAGTTTTATCAGTGCATGATCTTGACTATGTGACTTCACGGCAAGGGCGGTATCATCTGCATAACATCCGAGGTACGTATTGAGATCGGCACTATTGGGTAAATCATAAACATAAAAGAGATACAAAATTGGGCCAAGAATAGATCCTTGAGCTACCCCGGCTTTCAGATATTTGGTCTCAGAGTGTTCATATCCAAAGTTTACAAAGAATTTGCGGTTTCCGTATGAAAGAGTTGATAAGTAAGATGAGGTCTCTACTGAAATCAAGTGTGATGAGCTTGAAAATGAGCCCCTCATGCCAGACGCGGTCGAAAGCTTTCGCCACGTCTAGCATGAGTAAGACGACACTTTGATGCCTAATTAAAGCGGATCCAATGAATTCACACAGACGAACAAGTTGTTTTGTCGTTGAGAGATTTTTACGGAAACCAAATTGTTCCATTGGGAGCTTATCCATATGCGGTTCAATTCTTTTATAGATGACCCGTTCGAAAATCTTACCAAGTCCTGGGAGTAGACTTATCGGACGGTATCCTTCCGGTTTGGTGGCATCTTTTCCCGGCTTTGGTAGAAGAATGACTTTGGCCTTTTTCCATTTTTCGGGAAAGTAGTTATTTTCCAGGCAGGCATTGAGAATGCTGACATATCGTGTGACAGTATTAAGTGGCATATTTTTAATTGCAACATTCGTAATTTCATCATAGCCAGGTGCTTTCCGGTTTTTCAGGTTTCTGATAATGTTTCTAACCTCTGTCGGGGAAGTATAAACAGTGCGATTTTTTGCCCCTGGTCCTTCGAGCCAGTCTTTGATAAATTGTTGAGTGTAAGATGAGAAAAGAGGGTCACACGGATCTTGATTCGGTACAAACTGTTGTTCTAAGTGCTCTGCCATAATGGCGGCTTTTTCCTTATAAGTAAGTGCAATTCTGTTATTACTATAAATTGGTTTATTGCAAGGGGGCTTGCGCCTAAGATTTTTTGCAAAAGACCAGAAGTCATTTCCAGATTCATTAAAACTCTCAATTTTATTATTCCAGACCTCATCCCGATGTTTCCGAATCTTGCAACTGATTATATTATTAAGTCTGTTAAGTTCTTTCTTAACCCCTGGATTCCAAGAGATATGCCACCTTTTTCTCAGACGGTTTCTCTGTTTAATCATATCTCTAATTTCTCTGGGTAAACGGAAATTGTCTTTATCAATAGGGATTTTTTTGGTAGCAGTGTTGTATGCACTGAGGATACTATTGTTGAGAATTTCGATCGCATTATCAATATCCTCTTTATTCTTGAGTGAGCTAATAATTGGAGGGTTTTCTAACAGTTGTGTGTAATAATGCTGCCAATCAGTGATGTTTTTAAATTTGTTTTCTTCGCATTTGTTAGTGCCCAAAATAGCGATAACCGGCACGTGGTCGGAGGTTAGTTCAACTTTAACATCCAAATACATTGGAATGTCAGTATTTGTGAGCACAATGTCTAAAATATCTCCTCTTCTAGGGTTATTCTGGGAGGTACGTATAAACTGAAGGTGCATAGAAATAAATAGGATAGTTATTGATAAACTCGATTAGGACTTCGCCATTATTGTTGGTTCTTCGGCAGCCCCATTCAGTATGTTTGAGTTCAGATCTCCAGCCAGGATGAGTTGTTTATTATTTGGGAGAAGTTCAGCTAATTTGTCGATATCCAATACATTGTTCGGTGGTTTATAAATTGCGATAAAATAGACAACTCCATAAAATGGGAGTAAAACTGAGGCAGTAACTGCTTCGTATCCGTTAAAGAAACTTTTACAGTTAGTATTATTATTTTAAAACGAATAGTGGTGTTAAGTAAAAGTAGTGGTTTTTCTTATAAGGACATAAAAAAGGTATTTTCCAAAGATACTCTCTGAATGAGATATATATGAAAATTTGTAAGTCTATATTATCATTTTATTTTCACAAAGAAGCTTTGTTTTCTTTCCACTTAGAAAAATACTTAGCATTAGAGAAAGGACTTTGATCTGGTGTTTTGAAAAAGAACATTTGTGTAAATATTTGACATTTTAACTAAGCAAGAGTAAGCTAAAAATAATCCAAATTCAAAAAAATTATAAATTGCCACTTAGTGGGTTTCAAGATATACAAAGGCTCACATTTATTTTCAGACACTTCTGCTTTCCAGTTTTATGTGCAAATATCATTTACTAGCGAAATAAATTTATTTATTTTCACATATACTACTGATCACCATTATTAAAATGTACTTGTTTTATAAAAAGTTGTTCAAAGTGTTTTTGTAAAATAATAATAATAATAATAATTTGATCAAAACGTTCTGAAAATGAACTCACATAAGTATTCGGATGCTTTGACTAAACAGTTTATACTATTTAATAATAAAAGAAAGTCACAAGATATTCAATATTTTGTTGGATATACTTTAGATAAAATTACACTTTTCATGAATTTTGGCATGGATTCAATTAAATTTCTTCATATAAGAATGTTCTATTTTGCACTATTCCTCCGTACTTCCCTATTATTTCTCCAACTCAATCCATATATGTTCGATGTTCGAAAAATATGAAGGTCTTTCGATAACTTCAAGTCAGTTGTATAATAACCACAAACGAATATTTACAGCTTTATGTTTAGGATCTTTATCCCGATAGAGCTTGAATGTGTTTTGCATTCCAAATTTTCTTGCAGCTATTTTCAGATTATTAAGAATATTTATACTCGTTCATATTATTTTTATAACAACTATATTTCGTATCCCAGAAGTAGCGAACTATCCCCAA